GGATCGGTAGTCGAAAGCGGCAAATACGAGACTTTTTATCAATTCAACGAACCTTCTGACGATGAATGAAAACTTCTTATGCAGGGGAGTCTTGCAGCAACTACAGTGAAAAGCTACAATCTGACGGCTTTCACAGCCCCACAACAGCTAAAGCTAGGAATTATTGAACAATCGTCCGTTGCAACGCTTCTACAGAAGAGTTAACAAGTTCAAACTGGCTCCTTCTGAACCTACGCGGATGTGCAATCGCCCCGCGTCACCAATTTGGAATGAAGACGACGCCTCCGCGTCGTCAAATGCACAGCCAAACCGTGAGCAACCCTCGCGTTCAAGGTGGTGTTGCAGCCCAACAGCCGACCCTCGCGTCGTCAATTGCACAAGCCAAACGTGGAGCGACCCTCTCGCGTCAATGGTGTTCAACCAAATCACGCGACCCTCGCGTCACCAAGGCACAAACCATTGTGAGGCGAACACTGCTCGCGTTCAAGTGGTGTTCAACCCAACGACGACCCGCTCGCGCGTCGTCAACCACAAACCAAAGCGTGAGCGACCCTCGCGCTTCAATGGTGTTTTCAGCTAGCAGCCGGCCCCACTTCGGCGTCTGCCAAACACCCCGGACGCCAAATTCCCTAGAAGGGGCGAAGTTGGGTTCTGAACGACTAGATTGGGCGTTTGACTCCGGTTGCACTCAAAAACATGAGTAGAACGGTTTCAAAAACCGATTTATCCACGTCCTGAGGGATTTTTCGCACCTACGGTAACGGAGCGGATCATAGGGGGTCAGTTACAAACCCCTTATCCGCCTAATAAAAAATCAACGAACATCAACTGAGTTAAGGGCTGGCCTCTTTTGGCAAAGCTATGAGATTTAGCAGGAGGTTGGATGTTTCGCATCTGAACCATCAGGGGTTGGAATCGGATTTTTTTTGATAATCAGATCAGAGGTTGGATTCCTTTATCATCATAAACGCACATCAGGTTTTGGGATCTACGCAACAACAGGCAACGAAATGCGCTATGGAGATAGGATTTTTGAATCAACCTCAGAAGGATCAAATCTGAAGGATTCTCGAGCAACAGAAAAAACAGCTTAAAAAGAAAAAAAAATTAAAAAAAAAAGATTAGAATAAGATCCTTAAACCGAAAATTTTCGGTTCCACAACAACTCTATTTCATCCAGAGTTCAAACTCGGTTCAGAGTTCTAAAACTCATTCAAGTTATTCATAAACTTTCGCACGAAGTTCATACGTTCCAGCGAGATAAAGAGCGGTCGGAATCGTCAACGATTGAGAGGGCAAGTTCGACGCAATCAATGCGCAAGAAGCACTCCATCGCTGCCGAAGAAGAAGCCGCAGTTTTAAACAAAAGGAAACACCAAAATGTCGTTTTGGCCTCTCTTTGTAATCAAATTTGTAACGCGAGATCAAAGGAATCAAAAGTCAAATTTTCTTTATTGCTCTCTTTCGGCAATTTTTCGCTACCATACAAAGATGGCGACTTCCCGCTGGGACTAGGCTTTTTCCGACGATGAAGTGGTGGCTGTAGTCGCGACTCCCACCCTCAATGGAACCGACATGTAGAAACTCTCAGTCGTAGAGTTTGATCAAGCGAAATATCGAGGAGCGCCTATCGCTTGGATCGCTTAGCCCCAAGGCTTAAGGCAATGGTGTCCGCAAAGGATCTCCAAGGAGATCAATCTGTTGTTGAAGAGCCGAAGAAAAGCCTCTCCTTCGGCGCAGGAACTGCAAGACTGGCTCTGATGGGCGGAAGAATCGCGCGCAGCCTCCGCGTCAGGCAAGACATCGCTTCAGCCATCAAACGGGCCTCGTGGAAGGAGAGCAGAGTCTTGTAAACGCATCAATGACGTTGCTTCGAAGGCTTTGGAAACAAGCCAAAAAGAACGCCGCTCGCCGAACGTGGAGAAGATCATCCGACGAGGAGCCACGTTACGAGAAAGCCGATTGTTGGGCGCCAACGCGAAAAGAATCGCGTTTCTAAAGATGCAACCGAAGCCTGGCGTCCCCAAAGAAGAGTGCTGCACTGCGTGGCAAATGAGCCCAACTATGAGCCCTAAGCTGTATACAAGCTGCAAACGCACCCTGATGCGCGTTGTTCATATCAAAGCAGCCGCTCAGAACGGGCTGCCAAAACGGCAAATGCGACCCTCAGGGCGCGTTCGCAACATTGAAAGCATGACTTCTTCAGGAGTCTGTTTCACAATTAACCGCGACCCTCAGGTGCGCGTTCAAACGAAGCAGTGACTCTCCAGGAGTCTGTTCACCGCCGGTCAGGGGCGGCGTTCACAAAACTGACCCTCAGAAGGTCAGGTTCAATGGCATTTAAAACGCAAGGCCTCGGCCCTGGTGTTTACAAGCTGCTCAACGCGACGCGCGTTATATTAGGAACACGATCTTCGAGGTCCGTCAGGTTCAGAAAAAGTCAGCGTGGCTTTAAAGATCAGCCGTTCGTCATGGAAAGGAATAAAAGGGAAAAACAATGCTCAGCCTTACGCCAAGGGCAGGCGGGGTTCGCACTCCGACCTCCAAGCCCGGGATAGTTTCCTCCAAGTTCGCTGATCTGCGGACTGTTGTCGAGAGGAAAATCAGTCAGCAGCTAAGCATCGCTCACGTCATAGCCCCAGATGTGAGAGCGCTATATCTCGGCCGTCCCTGTCAGAATGCCTCTTGTTGTGCATACCACACACCTCGGGGCAGTCCGTATTCGACAGGTTGACAAACGTTGTTAGGCCTGCCAAAAGCGACAACGCCGCAACATGAAGAAGACAACCTGAAGCGAATACCCAGCAGGTGCACTAATCACATGATCGCGCCAGAGGGAAGCCTCTGCATACCTGATCTCTGAACGAGTCACAAGAGAGTCATCCGCGCAACTGTCCGAGAAATTTGTGACCGCAGTTCGAAGGAGTTTATTATCGGAATACTCGGTACTCGGAAGGAGCTATTTCGCGCCATCCGGTTGAACTATCAAAAGTTAGCCAAAGGCATTACAACAAGCTGAGGAGCATGTCGGCAATAGGCCGAATCTTAATCGTTCAGCTCTGTTGGAGCACTGCGAGGTCCTCCGCTTACAATGTCAAGAGGAACGCACCGAAGACCATCGCCAAACGAGTGGACGAACATCAATGTCATGCTCGCAGGGCGCAAACAGGAGACACTTCTGCCCATTGAAGGATAGGCTGGCTCAGGCTTCTGTGCATGAAAAAGGCCAGCAAACCTGAGTTTCTTCGGAGAACAACTTCAAAAAGGGAAAACAAAAGTGGCATGAAATTCAGATCATGAGAACTCAGTCAACGCTGGGGTCCTCGTTCTGAAGGTGAAAGGAGGTGAAAAAGAACTGCATCCTCAGTCCACACAAGATGGATGAAACTGGAAGCTCACAGCATCACCCAACGCAATCGCGCAACGCGAAGCGAGCTTCGCAGAAAGAAGGGGTAGTGCGCCTACTCCCTGCTGAGTGGATATCAGCTCCG